CTTGAAGCTGAGACTTTTGTATAAATTCGTCAATTTTTTTATCTCCACTTGTCCATTTATCAAAATCTTGTTGAAAGCGAATTCCATTACATGACATACACCATTGGTATGATGAAAGTAATCGATTACATTCGTGACAATATTCAGTATAAGACGATTGCATATTTGATCTTTCTTAAACTTGGATTTTCTTATTAAATATTATATGCATTGCATAACGTTACACGGACGATACAGTATTTGGCGAAATGTTTGTAAACTTATTGCACAATTTGTGTCAAATGATATTTTTTGGTTTTTTGTTATTTCATAACTTTTTTCTTATTGATGTAAAATAAATAAGAAAATAAAACATATAATAAACAGCATAATAATTCTAATAAATAAAAATTATTTCATTAATTTAGTATAAATAAAAATTATTTTATTAATTTAGTATAGACTATTTAAAAACAAAAAAAAAAAATTTTTTTTAATTTATATTTTATCTTATATCATAAAAATTCTAAATTATGTTTGCATTAAAATATAAAAACAAAATAATTATACTGTATATGTTTTTTTAAAAAAACAACCAATTTACAAAAAAAAAAAAAAAAAAAAAAAAAAAAAAAAAAATTTTTTTAATATAAATACAAAAAACCAAGCATTTTATTTAATCAAAATCCACCAATGATATTATAATTTATAAATCCAATTTAATACTTAAATCAACCATTTATAATATTTTTAGCAATAAGTTATTATAGAATATTAACATTTATTTATTTATTTATTTAAAAAGTATTTAGTAAAAAAAAATATTTGTTCACTATGACATTACTCATATTTACCTTTCATTTTCTAATGATATTATTTGAAGGTTCGTCGTCATTTGGACGGGATCCTTATCTAAACTTCAACCTATTGATAATCTCATTCCAAAGCATTTTGCTTTCGATTGGTGCACGACCATCGAGCACTGAAGAATTTTCCTGTGCTCTTCTAATCAGAAACGGCATTACTTCATCGATCTTTAGTCAATCAAGATAAAAGAATAAAATTTTAGTGTAATGAAAAAAAAAAAATTACGAAATATTTCTACGCGATATCTGCTTACCTTCCCGTATGCTAAATATTTATAGACGGGATATCCAAGGCTTGCAAGTGTGTAAGTGATCTGATCACACATTCCTGTTAGGAAAAAAAGATCAGCTTGATCAAATATATCAAATGCAATCGTGGTTAAAGTAAAAAAATCTTCGTACCATATAATTGTCCAAAACTTACTGTACCCGAGTTTACACTAATTCCATATCGTTCCATTTTTTCACAAGTCTTAATTATGCTTTCCTGATTGTGCGAAGCAACAATGAACGACACTGGACTATCCATGGTACTTAACTCTCCATTACTTTTACTTTCATGCAATTTGTCTAATAAAAACTCGACGGCATTATCATAAGATCTATGAGTATCTTCTATACTATCGTGAACAGGATTTGAATAACCCAATCTTTCTGCCATTGTTCTTTCACTAATCATATAGGCCCCACGAACAAGTTTTGATGCAAATACAAATTCATTCCTTCTCGATAGTTCATAGTCTCTTTGTAACCTCGACATTGAATCTTTCAGATACATCTGATATGTGTTAAATATGATTGGACTTCCACCATCAGATAATTTGTTGTATCTTGAAGATAACCTCATCGATATATAATCTATTGCTGGTTGAAAGTAAGTTTGTTCAGCGTCAATTAGTAGTTTCACATTATGTTTACGTGCCGATTTGCACAATTGCTCAAGTCTGGTCAATAATTGATTATAATTTCTAATATTATGTTGACTTAATTCCAAATTCTCGTTTTCAGTGAGCGGTCGAAGAATCTCAGGACTATCCAATGCAAATGTTCGAAAGACATCAAATCGATCGATTGATCCATCTTTGTCAGAGTCGAGTTTATCGAAAAACGCGTTGAAATGACTTGTTTTGTCGCTTCCACCAGAAGTGCCACTAATAAGATCAAAAAAGTCAGATTTCCCCAGTTTTCCATCCCGACCGGCATTTGACCGATTAAAAGCATTGTCCAAAGAATTATATGTTAAAGATAAATTTTTTAAAGTTCCCGGATCTGTCAGGCCAGTAACTTTAATGGCAACACAACTATTTGACTGTTTGGATGCTGTTTGGATGCATTCTAAATACATTTGAGTAACCCGATCAGCTTCTTTGGAGAAGAAAGATTCGGCATCAGTCGACAGAGATTCACCCTGGTCTAGGTCAGACTCGATCGATAGACTGAGAATTGTTCCAATTCCATGTTTCTTTAACCGAGTCATAGTATCAATACATTGTTTGTCAGTTTCCCCTCTGAAGAATTTCAGATTAGATCATATTACAGACTAAGTAAACAAAGATCCTTTATGTAATCTTACCCACAGAATTGTACGAAAAACGTCTTTGCGATAATCCAATAAATAGGACGAGTAAGATGATATTTTTCTGCTAGTTCAATAAACCCTGATACGTTATTTACTAGCCATTGAACAGAGCATAATTTATACACTACGAGAGAACGAAATAATTCACGTAAAGGCTTGTCTTGGAAAGCAATACGATTATCTAAAAGATGTCACCGCCAAAGTTGAAGAAGAATTACTATAAATATTGCTAATCATGTAACGGTAGATTCATAAAGTCGAATCATTAATGCATTCACCAAATGATTTCGTTGATGGAATTTTTTGATTATGAATAGGTGGAGACATGATAGTGGAGGAACGGCTGGAGGTTGATAAGCATAATGAAGGTCTTCTTAGAAAACATGATTGTTTAATAAAGGTTCGTGAGAGGACTGAATGTTTTCCTGCACTAAAATGACTTTTAACCGGATGATTCAATAAGGCCCGACTAAACATTTTACTTTGTTCTTTATTACTTCAACGCTGAATTTATGGATCAATGTTAAAATTTATCTTATAGAACACGAAGGTTATTGGATCATATTTCTTTGATGTCAATGTTGACGATAATAAAAACAAATACCTCGCATAAAAATCTAGTTGTGAGGGAATGAAGAAAATGACAAAATCGTAAGAAACAAATGGTTGTCTTTGCGCAAATAGATATCCGTATTTGACTGATAGTGACTCTATTCACCAATTACAATGTCAAAATACAATGCAATTAGCCTTATTTGCAAAATAAAGCAACTTTCATTCCTTTTTAGCACTTACAATATAAAAGGATCATTCATACATAGTATCACGAAATACGTAACTGTACTGGCAGCCGATCAAATTCCATTTTTATTGTAGACACTGTACAATGATAGAATTTACTATTATCATCATTTGTGTTTATACTGAGAGATTATGTAAGAAGAAAATCAATGTCGTCATTAGTATACAGTATCTTCTAAGGTAAAAAAAAAAAAGAAGGTCCAACGTGAAAATAATAAACCAGTTAAATTATTCGTTATTAATAAATAAGTTGTTTTATATTAATTCAATCTAATGTTCTATTTTTGAGTTATAAATTTATTTTAGAAAGTTAGTATCGATATTCAAAAAGATCTCGAAAGTACGTTTATTGCAAGAACCTGAAGAATTAACCATACATGTTTATTCATTTATTTAAATGATGTAATAAATCAAATATTCTCGAACAATCCTATCCCACATATAATTTTTTATAATACACTTCTAGCATTCTCTAGCTTCTATCGAAAATCTAATTCACACGATATGCCTTTTGTAATACAGTACGATGTATTCAAGAATATTCGAAACCGCCTTTTACATCTAAATATAGCATTAATCGAAAAGTGAATAATAAATTTAATATAAAAAAAAATCTATAAAAATTAAATTGATATTTTAATGGTTTACGTTTTCCATTATCAAATTACTTTAATAAAAGAAGTATCATAATTATTTATAAAATCCATACAATACAATGGTATAAAATATTTTCAATGATCTAATATTCGAATAATTAGATCGTTTAAAATTAAATGATTGAGAATTTATCGAATCACGAGATTATACAGTATTGGGATTTTTATTGAACTTGCAATTATTTATGATACGTGTAATAACAACAAAGTCGTTGATGTTATTAATCAATTAAAAGAAAGTGATATTGAAACTTCGAATTTACACTTTTATAATAATAAAAATATAATTTTATTTATTTATTTAATAGAAAATTTATATAATTTAATAAAGGTAAGTATAAGTATAATTAAATTGTCAGTTCTTTCTATCGCAACAATTTAAAGTTTTCTAGATTTACTTCCGACAGTGACACCGTGATAGATACATTTTGTTCTAAGAACACTCCAATCATCGGGATATTATGCAATTATTTTGAAATCTTTGGAAATTCCTTCAATGTCTGGGTTATCTTCATCAAGACTGGCTACATGACAAGTGAGTCCAATAAGATCAGAATCATTAGGGAGGTCGATCGTTTTCTTTCCGAGCGAGAAAGGTACCTGCAAAGTTAATATGTTAGCATAAGATTATATGGTGTAGGCTGCGAAGCAAAGGGATACTCACAGACGGCACAGCTGTTCCCGGAAACTGCGTCCTCGGACCGCATCTGATACGGGAACTAATATTATCTACCAATATACATACTGGAGTAAGATATATGTATGTTCATTGTAATATAAAACGTTTAGCAAACGTACCACTGGTGTTTAGGCCTTTGGGAATAAATGTCGTATCCCATTTTACTTCTACGGAACTACCGACTTTTTGATCCGTGGTGGGCGCTATGAATTTGATCGAGTCTGTAGATTGCACACGTGATACGGCCTCAATTAAAGCCAGCAGAACCACGACCAGAAAATGTAAAAGCGATTTCATGTTTTGATAAATAGGCGTAAAGAGAAATGTTTCTTCACGAGACCTCTTTTATACAAAATCTGTCCTGGCTGATTGACAACTACTCAGTAAATATAGCTTGTATCTAATGAGATCACCTTAATTACATGCTTCGGAGATTAAGACTATAGGTTATTTAAAAGATTCTAAATAAGTACAAGTTGAAATTTCTTTGTATAATATCAATTGGTTTATTAATAGCATAGCCGTGGATGTTATTGACAGGATTAAAAAACTCGAAGAATTAAGTTTTTTGTATGTGTATTATTTCTTTTTTATTGGTTTTCATTTGATCGACGCAAGAATTTCTTTGTTTGATTCATCATAACCATTCGTGTTTCCGTTCTAATATTAAAGTTATTCAGGAGAAAAGAACTTATTACATTTGGAGATAAATAATTTGGGATTGGATTATTTGAAACTGGTCATAAAAGGTCTTGGAAAGTTTGGTCTCGAAACGAACAAAGCAAAAATGAGCTAACAGAAACTGATGCAAAAATGTACGTATTTGGATAAAATATGTAACAACCAATGCGCGTAAAATTGTGGAGTGACTCAAATGGCGACAGGTGCTAATGCAAGTTCACTTAAAATTATCTAGTGCGATTACGCGTTGTTAATGTAATTCCTAGGTGTTTGTATTTTTACACTATTTCTAATCACAGAAACCGTCCAGAAATTATACAAATTTAGGTGTAATTTTGAATTCAGATATCATTTTTTAATGCACAACGAAATACTAATAATATTAATAAATTTTTATTAAAAAGTTTATTAATATACCAAAAAAGTCATATTTGAACAATATTTTTTTACTGTTTAAATTGTGTAAAAGCAATGAATCATGTAAATGGAGCAAAAACAACAAAAAGATAGACAGAGCAGGTAGAACAATAACAACAACTAAGTTATTTAACTGTTTAATATACCCATCTAGGCATGTCAAATCATAAAATTGTTAGTCTTTCTTGTGATTATATTTTTTTGTAAATTAAAAAAGCTTTTTTAGAATGGAGGGACATCTTTTTCTATAATAATTTATTGTACTTCAAGAATACAATTGAAATTTTTAAAGCCTTTGAATCCTTTTTGTACGTCAGCCAATTATTGTCAATAATCAACCGTGTTTATATCTAAATAAAAGGAAATAAATTTTTCTATCAAATCTACGATGAAATACTTTCATTGAACAATGAATTTGTAAAATATGACTCATCTAAAATAGAATAATGTTTTCTCGATCATGTTCACTATCGAATAAATGGTTCGATTATAACCATTCTTTATTATTCGATCACAAAAAAAGTGATAGGAACACATTGAAATGCAAGTGTGTAAATCACAATCAATATGATATAATGTTGTCGCGTGATGAGTAGACCAGCAAGAAAAAGGGTTCTAGACTGCGGTGAATGACCAAAGAAGTTTGTAATGGATATAGATATTCTCGAATTGTTGAATTTACGAAAATCGATCTTAAATAATGACCCAAGAATCCAAAAAATCCCTCGGAACTCTTAGTGATTACGTCCTTTTAGGATGTAGCGGGTTGAGGGTTTTACCATTATGCCTTGGCACAATGGTAGGAGAAAATTCTACGTAATATAATTTTTATAAAACGAACAATGTTCAGGCTGATTAATTTGAAATTTTTTCAACAGACCTTCGGGGAAAATTGGGTACATTGAATTTGAGCCATTTTATCAAGCATTTACAATCGAATCGTTCTTTGATTGTTTTCGTCATATTTTATTGTGCAGGGGTTTGGTGCCAATTTCGAAGAGTGTAAAGAGGTCTTTGATCATTATTTTGAGCAAGGAGGTAACTTTATTGGTATGAGTTCCCTTTTATTTTCGTAATTATAATTTAATAATGATTCTTAACAGATACCGCAAATTTGTATACTGGCGGTGATGTGGGTGTATTTTGATGTGACTTGACTATCACGTATTTACTAACACGTATTTTTTTTTTAGAGCGAGCGTTTTCTTGGACAATATATTGCTAATAAACGTTCTCAAGTCGTCATATCGACCAAATATTCATGTTTATATCTTTTATTATTTACCTTCTTTATATGTAATTTACTAAGATTGACATTTTATAGTGAACGTGAACAAATTTAATGCAAATAGCGGTGAGTTTCTTTCTTTATTGACAGATTTAAATTTTATATAATCATGTGACTTCATTTCTAAATACATTAGGTGGTAACCATCGCAAGATCCTTGTCGAGAATCTTGATGAAAGTTTGAAGCGTCTTAACACTGGCTATGTCGATCTCCATTGAGGAAGTTATGCGCGCTCTGGACGATACAGTTAGAAGTGGCAAAGTACATACAGGTACATCGTCTTTTAATTACGAAACATTGATAAATTATTATTACTATTAGGCACTTAATGTCGGGATTAGTAACACGACATCTTGGGTTATCAGTCGCGCAAATACCATTTCTGAATTTCGAGGGTGGAGGTAAACTTATTCTGAGTTCATTATCTTTGAAAAAAAAATTATTATTATTTATAATCAAAACATTATATCCACTATCAAACCAGTCGATTTATTGACTTACAAACTCGGACAATTTATTGAATCGCACGTACGAAACGGATTTGCAGCCCGCTTCTGCTGAACTTGGCGTATGTATTTATATTTTTTCTTCTTTTAAGATCTAATTACGCCTGTATATTATAGTCCATGTAATTATTAAATGCTTTTACAGATTGGGACTGTTCCATGGGGTTTTCTCGCCGAAGGGTAAAATTTTAGATACTGAGATCGATCATATGTTCGAATAATAATTTCAAATGTTATATTTAGATTTCTCACCGGAAAATATACTAAAGAATCCATAGAAGAGTCAAAGATAGTTGGGAAAAGAATTGGGAAATACTTGATGAGGTTAAAAAAATTTCTAAGGAAGTTAATAGAAGTCCTGTTCAGGTAAAAATTTTTATATAAAAAAATTTTTTTAAATTTCTATTTAAGATAACTATTAGGTGGCGTTAAATTGGATAGCTCAAAAACCTGGTATCACTTCATCTTTAATCGGTGCCAGAACTAAAGCCCAATTGGTTGAAAATATAAAGGCTCTTGAATTTAAGTAATCCTCATTGGATAAACTTATTTTATTTACACGTACTATAAAGTTTTACTAATATACTTTTTTTAATCAGGTTAACTCCAGAACAAATTAATAGACTGGATAACGTCTCCGAGCCTCCAATGTCATTTCCGCAGTCCTTTTATGGTTTTGGTCCCGGCAAGGTTTAAGCCCATATCAAGTTACAAAACGTCTGTGTTGTTTTAAGTTGAGGGTACCGAGATTATGTTATTGTAAAGGAAACTTGAATGTCTTCGGGTTAACATCTTTGACCTAAAATCCTAAAATCGACAAGTAAAGATAATGTGATAGATTCGCCAGTGAAAATAGCGATATATTGAATTTTTTTAAAAAAAATAAAATAAAAGATATTGAAACAAATGGTTTATGATTTAATTAAAGAAAAAATAATAAGGTATTAATATCTATCATTATTTTTCAACTGTTCAAAAGAATTATTTTTACAATTGAAAACTTTGTTTTTAAATTTTTTGAAAATTCATTTTTATCAAAAATCCATAAATTATTATTTGCAATAGAAATCCTTTTAAAAAGAGCTTCTTGTTTTTAAACCTAATCTTACCAATATTTTTTAATGATGGCAACGAAATTTTTTATTATAAACATTTCTTTATCAAATAAATTAATTTCAAAATTCCAAAGATAAAAATGCAATAATGTAGACTCCGTGTTCATTGAATTTCAACGAGCTATCTATTGGTATTCTTAAAATTTAAGTCATCGGTTTCGATGATTTAAGATTTAATACGGGCCTGAATCTTTCGGGAACTTCAATATTACTTCCGATAAAACTATCACTCATAAAGTTATAAAAAGATTGTGGAAACGGTATCGAGGGCTCAGAGACATAATCTAATCTGCTAATTTGTTCTGGAGTCAACCTGTTTAAAAAGTTTATTAGTAAAACTTTATGGTACGTGCAAATAAAATAATTTTATTCAGGGATTTACTTGAATTCAAGAGCTTTTATATTTTCATCCAGTTGTGTTTTTGTTCTGGCACCGATTAAAGGTGAAGTGATACCAGGTTTTTGAGCGATCCAATTTAACGCCACCTAGTAGAAAAAACGTTATCTTAAACAGAAATTTAAAAAAATTACTATATATAAATTTTACCTGAACAGGACTCCTATTGACTTCCTTAGAAATCTTCTTAACCTCCTCAAGTATTTCCCAATTCTTTTCAATTCCGAATGATTCAAGGAGTGACTTTCGATTACTAATATTCTCCCCAGTTTTCTTTGACTTTTCTACATATTCTTTAGTATATTTTCCGGTAAGAAATCTAAAGAAAATGTTGAATAACATAAAATTTATTATTCGAAAGTCAACATTTGACCGATGCGCATTAAGTTCTTACCCTTCAGCAATACAACCCCACGGAACAGTTCCAATCTGTAAGGTCATTTGATAATGATATAAATCATAGCTTAATATAACATAATATACAGAAGTAATTGGATTTTCGAAGGATTGTAAATACATACGCCAAGTTCAGCAGAAGCAGGCTGCAAATCCGTTTCGTACGTACGATTTAATAAGTTGTACCGAGTTTGTAAAGCAATAAATCGACTGGTTTGCAGTGAATATGCTTTGTTTATAAATAATTTTTTTTTAACGATAGTGGACTTAAAAAATAAAATTACCTCCATCCTCGAAATTCAGAAATGGTATTTGCACGACTAATCACCCAAGATGGAGTGTTACTAATCCCGACATAAAGTACCTAATAATAATAAACCAATTTACCAATGTTTCGTAATTAAAAGGCGATGTGCTTATATTTACTTTGCCACTTCTGACTGCATCGTCCAGAGCGCGCATAACTTCCTCGATAGGTGTTCGATATTCCCATAAATGCACATAAAGGAGATCGACATAGCCAGTGTTTAGACGCTTCAAACTTTCATCAAGATTCTCGACAAGGCTCTTGCGATGGTTACCACCTAATAATGTATTTAGAAATGAATTCACATGATTATATAAAATTTAAATCTGTCAATAAAGAAAGAAACTTACCACCGTTTGCATTAAATTTGACATTGGGGTTCACCGGATTCACTTTAAAAATATCGATTTTCAGTAATCACAAAAGATAACGGTTGAAAAGGTAATAAATACAAACGTGTATATTTAGTTGCCACAACAACTTGAGAACGTTTATCAGCAATATATTGCCCAAGAAAACGTTCACTCTAAAAAAAAAAAAGTCTACATTAGAATTTTTAGTAATTACTTAAAAGTTGCATATCAAATGTACTCACATCACCACCAGTGTATAAATTTGCGGTATCTGTAAAAATTGTCGTTAATAAATTACACGAAAAAAAAAAAAATAAATTACATTACAATTTCTAAAATAAGAGGAAACTCGTACCAATAAAGTTTCCTCCTTGCTCAAAATAATGATCAAAAACCTCTTTACTCTCCTCAAAATTGACGCCAAATCCCTGCACGATAAACGATAAAATTTTCAGAGAACGATTCGACACGAATTTAATGAATTATTGTATAGTTAATGTACCCATTTTTCCCCAAAAGTCTATTAACATTTCATAGAATTAATTTAGTCTGAATACCGTCCGCTATGTAAAATTAGATTACATGGAGATTTTTCCTACCAACGCGCCAAGGCATAAAGGTGAAACTCTCAACCCACTACGTCCTAAAAGGACGTAATCATTAAGAGTACCGAGGGATTCTTTGGAATCTTGAGTCATTATTTAATATTGATTTTCGTAAATTGACAATTTTGAGGATGTGAATTTTTTTTTATTTGCGAACGATTAAGAACTCAGATTTGACGTGATTTTCATTACTTATATTACGGAGGGCAATCAATGATCACCGGTCGATTTGCAACATTATTGTTGCTATAAAATTTCATATGGATTTGACTTTCTGTTTTAATTTCAAAAGATTGGTTCCAAAAATCAGACTTATATAGACTCGCATAGATTTGCATGAGGTTTGGAACACTATTAAAAATCATGGAGCATAATTTACATATTAAATTTAATATAAATCTGAGAATTAGAATCAAATCAAATTATTAAATTTAATTTCTCGCCAAATATTTTCAATAATATTAAGGTCAAGATTTTGTGTTAATCATTTAAACATTAATATTTGAATAATGTAGAAGTACATTATCTTTTCATATAATTTTTTTTTATTAGAAATTAATTTATTCAATATTGGAATCATATATTTTTTTTAAATTTTTCCATATACTTTTTTCATAGCTAAGTCATAAAATAAAATAATTGATTCAAGACCATATTACAAAAAAATCTTCAAAATATATAGTTTGAACTATATTTAACAGTAATATGAAAACATTATATATCAAATTCTTTATTTGGTAAGTACAAAACTTATATATAATCGATTGTTCAATTTTCATGTTTTAATGTCTATGCTAATATTTTTTCTTTATTTTTTTTAGAAATAAATAATTTTTTTTATACAACACATATGTACAAACCAATTTTTTTAAGTATTAAACAAATAGTAATAATCAAAACATTTTATTTTTTTTTTTGATATTTTATAAATCTTAAAATTTATAATTATAAAAATAAGAAGATATTTTGTTTTATATAATAAGATTTTTGAATTCTATTTGTACAAATATATAAAAAAAAAATTTAAATCATAATGCTTTTTTAATAGTTAAAATCCTATAGTTTTAAATCATCTTATTATATCATCAACTGTATTTTATCACAATAAACATAATTAATAATTTTTTATAAGAATTTTTATATTAATAATTATAAATAATCACTATATATTATTTATTACTTAATTTTTTTCATTTTATAAATTTTTTTATATTATAAATACTAAAAATTTTTTTGATATAACATTATTATTTTTATTATAATATTAAAAATTTATTACAATATATTAATACAAGACATATTATATTATATTATAGATTTAAAATTAATTACAGAAAATTAATTAGTAATTACTAATTATTGACTATATTTGATACTTTATAAAAATGAATAAAACAAGATTAGTTATAAAAATATTCTGTTGATTGTTTGTATATTTAACTTTACTAATTGTCTATTAATTAAAACTTAAGATTATTTGTTATTTGATTATAAATATAATTATAAAAACTTTATTTTATTAATGAAAAATAATTTATATATTTAATAAATTCATAAAAAAATTATATTAAGATTATATTACTATCAAATTAGATATTTTTAAACTTTTAATTCTGAAATTTTGTAATTATATAAAAAAAGATAATTTTATAACATATATATTTCCTAAAATTATACAATAATATAAATATAATAAATAATTATATAATAATTGAATTTTTTAAAAAATATTAAACAATAAAAAATATATTGATTTCTAAAATAAAATATATAATTATATTTATGTATTTGTAATTTAAAAACTTTAAAAATTTAATTGTATCTATATATAAATTGTTATAGAAAAACTGATATTATACTTTATAAATCTTTGATAAAATTTAAAAATTTTTTTATTGTTATAGAATTATTTATTGTTTTATTCAGTTTTTTTTATTTGTATTGTAATTATAAACTTTTTTAAAAAATACAGTATATAATCTTTGTAAAATAAAATAAATTTATTAATTTAATATATAATATTTATTTAATTTATAAAAAATAATTAAATTATAATTTTAATAAAAATATATATTTTTAGTTCTTTTTTTTATATTTGAAAACTTTTTTTAAAAAAAATTTTTAAGTTGGTTTTTTTTTTTTACTTTTTACTTTTTTCTTTTTATATTTCCTTTTCTTATATCCTTTTTTACCTTTTCTTTTTTATAAACTTATCTTTTAATATGGTAAATTAAAGTCAGTTATTATATTAAACTTTTATTAAATTGATATATATAAATAAACTTGCTTTGTTAACTGTTTTTTATTAACTGTTTTTTTGCTTGAAAAAGCTTGTTATAGAATACAGTTATATTTTTTTTGGTGTAAAAGATTAAGATTAACATGTGTTTTATTAAAAAGTTTAAAATTTACTTGTATTTATAAGTTTTAGTTATATTTTATTACTTAATTTATAATGTATTTACATTTGTGTTACTGAAAATCTTGTTTTTGAAAGTAAACTAACTTTAGTAAAATTTAGTATTGCTTTAAATATATGTTTGTATTTTGAGTTACATTTGTTTATTTTATAATAATTATTGTTATTTAATTTAGAAAAGTATATATTTGTATTATTATTGATTTTTAAAGAAAATAAATTATTTTTAGTTTTTTGTTTTCAAAAAATCTTAATTGCATAATAATTGTTATTTATCTTTAAAAAATATTGTAATTTATACTTTCTTTTCAATTATAATAGTAAAAAAGTCTTGATACTTTTTTAATTTTGTGTTAATATATAAGGTTGTTTAATTTATTGAATATAATCTAATTAATACAAGATTTTGTTAATATCTAGAAAAATATTTAATCTGATATATGACTGACTAGTAGCTTGTAAAATATAGTATTGACTTTTTTCTTAACTTTATTATAAATTATATTTTTTGTTTTCTTTTTTTTTTTAATAAAGAATTACAAGTATCTGTTTATATATTTGAAAAATAAAAAAGAGTTAATATATCTTTTAAATTCACTGTATACTTATTATATATATTCTTCTTTATTTTCAAAAAAATATTATAGAGTTTTTCTTTTAATGTTTTCTTTAAGTGTTTTTTTAAAAATTTTTTAAAGTTGTTAAAAAAGAAATTTTTTAGAAATTTAGAAATTTGTAAAAAAAAGTTTTTTTTTATTATTTTAATATTAGTTTAATATTTAAATTTATTATAAATTAATATTAATTTGGGTTGAGGCAGCTAATAAAGCTATAACCCAGTTATACAACCTTATTTGAAAACCATGCTGTTCCACAGCCAACACGTCACCATCCACCGGAATTAAATGGAACTTTGACAAACTTTTCACATCATCTCCCTCTTATAAACCATCCAACAATCATGATCCTCAAGCCGAAATCCAACCAACCATTACCTCTCCTGAAGAAATTATAATTGACCTACCTAATATAGTTGCTAATACATTTATTCAGTATAAATATAATTATCATAAATGCATTCAGAAACTAATATCTTTATTACCTGACACCTCTTCCCTTAATACTGAGTAGGTATTCATAGCTGCTCGGTACCTTTTGACAAGATATATTGTTTTAAATTTTCTTTTCAATATTAGTCAAATGGTTACTGTAGGCAAGCTAGCATTTAACTCATTGTATTTGCATATAAGAGATGTTGTTTCTTTCACGATGTATACCTTGACATATACAAACCAAATAAAGAAATGATGTTTACCTACAAAAAAAAAAATAATAATAAATAAATTAATATTAATTTAATATTTTTTGAAATTTTATTTTTAATAAAATAAGTTAATTATAAAATTTGAAAATTAAATAAAACAAGAAAATAGATTATTAATTATTTTTTTTAATAATAAATAAAATAATAAAATTATTAAATATTTAAAATAAAATTATTTATAATTATATATTTTTAATATATTAATTAATAATTTGGGGGGTTTTTTTTTTTTTACCTACAATCAGACTAATGTCATATATTTATTAAATCATAAAAAACCATTACACATATGAGAATATATGCAAAGTACAAATTTCCTTAATTCAGCTCACCCGTCTTAAGCCTAAACCTCTAGATGTGATTTATAAGAGTGATACGTTGCTAGCCTGATGATTAGGATTAAGATCCAGTTATACCATAAGGATTATAGCCTGCAGATCACCTCTACAGTCACAACCATAAACCCAAATTGTGTTGTCCTCTTTTGCAGAAACTATGTAAGGGGTAAGGGATAAAAAAAGGAATAAGGATAGAAAAAACAGCACAAATGTACACAAATAAAATGATATATAAAAAAAAGAATAAAAGCTATTATCTATTCTATCTATTATTGAAATAGTATCTCAATGAACAAAATCCAAACCCCTCATGAATACTCACTTGTCACTATCTATAGTCAGTTAGACTATTTAATTTCCATTGAAACAGACAATATTCAAGAATATTTAAGAATACTTCATTTCCATTGAAACAGGTGATATTCAAGAATGTTTAAGAATATTTCCTGGAAAGTATTTCTTGAAACTTTACACATGAAGACTTCTGATCAGAAAGAATATTAGTTTTCTATTGTTGATTTTTTTTCCAAGCTATGTCTTTCTAGAATTATTGCTTTGCTTAACCAGTAGATAGTTTTAAGATCCATTTCTCCAACCATTTTTGGAATAGACATTGATACTTCAACTTGTTGCCAAATTGAAATAGAATTTGAATCTTGTGATTACTTCCAGTTCTCTAAGTAAAATAGAAAAAGAAAAGAGGCAAATAAAAGAAAAAAACAAAAAGAGAATTATTTTTTCTCCTTAGTACTTCTTCGACTAACAAACCATTCAACTCTTTTCGAAATCAATCATATCATTAATTTGATGTTACATGACTTGAAACATGTGAGAGGACATATCTTGTTTACTTTTTCTGTGACTAACATGATCAACCAATCTGTAACCTTGACCAATCATCTTGTAGAAAAGTCTGGTGTAACCAAAAATTCAGGATCAAACTGAGATAGGCAAAATTTTCCAGAAAAATAAAAAAAAAGGAAACACGCTTGAGAGAAAAAAGGTAGGTAGG